CTGTGTGCTTATGTATGCATGTGTGTGTCTGTCGCCCTGCGCTCGGAGGCCGCTCGAGCGTCGAGCGGGAGCAGGAGGGCGACGACGAGGGAGGGGGGAGGCGGGAACGAGGTGGAACGGTGGGGGGCGGGCCTGCCCAAGGGGGGGCGTGCCCGAACTCGGGACCGGCGGCACCTCGCCGGTCGATCGGCGACAGGCCCTCGACCGCGAAACCTCGCGCCCACGGGGCAGGGGGGGGGGGGCACCCCGGGCCCCGCTCGGCGAGCGGTGTGCTGCGGGGGGGCCGGCCAGCTCCTCCCCTCTCGCCGCCCCCGAGGGAAAGGGGGTCGGCGCGAGCGGGGTCCGGCAGCGCGGCCCTGGGCGGCGACCGAGGGGCAAGGCCCGAGGGGGTTCGTGCGAGCGGTCGGGGATCGATCCTCGATCTCGATCCTGCGACCCTCCGCGAAACTCAGCGCAAGTTTTCCACCCCCTCCCCCCGCGCCCCCAACTTCAGTGTTCAGCTGCGCGCGCGGCGCGGTCCGCGGACGCCGACGGGAGAAAAGAAGTCGCGCGCTTCGGCATCGACATTGAAGTTGGGAGGTCTGGGGGTACCAGCGCGGCGCAGGAAAAACGTTCTTCAAGTTTCGCGGAGGGATGCGGGTGGGCCCTTGATTTTGCAACGAAGCGCCATGATCGAGGTGTCTGCTGCGCTTTGGGGCACTTTCAGGGGCCTCTGGCGGCCTCCGTCCATAGGCTCGCCGTCCACGGGGGCGCAGCGGGAGAGAGACCACCCGGAAGCCGCCAGGAAGAAGGAAGCAAATCCATGCGCCGCCAGGAGTCTTCGGTTTGACGGGTTGCCGCGCAAGAGGACCCCGCGCGGAAGGAAGGGAAAGAAAAAATCCAGCCAGGGGGCCTGGGGGGCTCGGATGGGTCGCGGCGGCGATGGCGAGAGGGCATGGCTTGTGTCGCCCCCATCGTACTTAAGGACCACATCCCCCCCGAAATTCGAGCACCCAGAAAAGTGCCGAAGCAGAGTCGAACGAGCAACGAGCAACGCCCCCCAGGGCCCAACACGGTGAAACCATCCACTTTCGGTACCATTTGGTGCTCGAAAGTCTTTCTGGTGAGTCAAGGCCGAAGCAGGTTGGAACATCATGAGGCACGGCCGGCCTCCTCCGCTGCACGGATCTCGTCACGCGCTGCTGCCCAACAGAGACGCTGGCACGCTGCCCGATGCCTGCGAGGATGCGCCGGCAGGCCTGCGCGGGGGCGGAGGACGGGGAAGGGGGGGGGCCAGGCTCGAAGGCTCGCAATCCTCCTTCTCCTTCTCCTCCTCCTCCTCCTCCTCCTCCTCATCCTCCTCCTCCTCCTCCTCCTCTTCCTTCTTCTCCTCCTCCTCCTCATCCTCCTCCTCCTCCTGATCCTCATCCTCCTTCTCCTCCTCCTCCTCCTCCTCCTCGTCCTCCTCCTCCTCATCATCATCCTCCTTCTCCTCCTCTTCCTCCTCCTCCTCCTCTTCCTCCTCCTCGTCCTCGTCGTCCTCCTCCTCCTCCTCATCCTCATCCTCATCCTCCTTCTCCTCCTCCTCGTCCTCCTCGTCCTACTCCTCCTCCTCGTCTTCCTCCTCCTCCTCCTCCTCCTCCACCGCCTCCTCCTCCTGAACATGCGCAGGGTTTCAGAAGCAGCCGCAGGGGGGGTGACGGGCGGAGGTCCACGCACGGAGGGCTGGATGCCCCGGACCACTGTCCCCAATACATCTTGCATGACTGGCGATAGGGCGCGGGCACGCAAGATCACATCATGTCCTGCAGTGCCTTCGAACATACGGATGTCTGCAGACACCGAGTCAGACTATCGTACCTCACCTTGCTGGTGTGCTCGTCAGCAACGCGACACATCAGCGACATAGGCCACGAACATGATCTGCACATACCCACTACTCAACACCCGCAGCGCGCAGAACCTCGCACAGAAGGTTGATGCACAATGATGGTGGTGATAACTGCTCGCGACAAAGCTGATTATGGCAATCCAGGCGCCTCAGGCGGCCAGTGTGAGCTAGCCACTCGGGAGGAAGGACAAGGAGGCGGAGGGCTGTGGTAGCGGGAACGAACGCCCCTATGCTGGCGCTCTCAGCAAGCGGCGATGAAGAACGAGTTTGCCTTCCACTCAAAGTCCGTGGAATAGCCAGACGTAAGCACCTTCTCGTCGCACTCGGTCAGGCTACAATCGCACTTGCCCACCGTCTCGGAGTACTGCTTGTACTCCTGGCACTCCGTCAGCAGGCTGGGCATCACCTTGACGCCACAGCCGCACACCTCGAGAGAAGAATAGCAACAGGCAACGAACCCGACCGCTGCACGTCAGGTATCTGCAAACTTTGATGGGGCTCGTCGTTTGAAGGACGTTTGTAGGTCACAGAACGTCGCGCATCGCGCCCCGCGATGTGCGACGCGCGGTTCTCTTCGCGCCCTCGGCGCCGCCGCCTCGAGAAGGGCAGCTCTACTGCACAGATCGCGACGCGCGAGACGCGATCATCTTCGCCTTGGTGACTTGGGTGTCTGCAGCTGGGTGAACCCCAACGGGGGCGTCCGATGCCCATGGTGTCGGTTAGGCCTTCAGGGGCGAGGGCTCGCGGGTGGCCGCGCAAAGGAAGGGACACAGCAGGAAGTGGCAGGCACGCGTCTGCGTGAGCCTCGCAGCCTCCTCCGCTCTCCCCCCCCCCGGCATGGAAGGAGCGCGCCAGACATGTGGGGGGCGCTCCAGAGACCCTCAAGGCGCGGCCTTGGATCTCTCTTGGGAGGCGACAGCTTCGTTTCTCTACCGCCCGCTCCCGCCCAAGCTTCCCTGGCACGTCCCATGGCGCGTCGCCTGACACGTTCCCTGGCACGTTCCGTGGCGCGTCCCGTGGCGCGTCCCCCTGGCACGTCGCGCGGCGCGTCAAATATCACGTCCCCTGGCACGTCCACTGGCACGTTCCGTGGCGCGTCCTCTTGGCACGTCCCGCGGCGCGTCCCCATGGCACGTCCCCTGGCACGTCCCCTGACGCGTCCCTTGGGACGCTCCGCGGCGCGTCCCCCTGGCATGTCCCGCGGCGCGTCCCGTGGTATGTCCTCCGGCGAGTTCCATGGCACGTCATTGCGCGGCACGGCACAGCGCAGCGCGGCGCGACACAGCCCCTGGCACGATATCATCAAGATCGATATCTTCAGCACTGCCACTGCCCATCGCCAAGTTGAAGTCCCTGAAGACGTGTGCATGCCTCGCATTTCTAAATTCCTTGCCGGGTTCGTGGGTCGATCATGCTTCCCAAATGCTCCTGGGCATCGGCGTTTATTGATATGTGTACAAGACTGCATTGGCGCTTTGCGCCATGCACCTTGGCCCTTCACCTCTGACTTGCAGGCCACATGAGAAAGAAAGAGGTAGATCAATCAAAACAGCTAACGCTCTTAGTAGCAGTTTCCGCCATCACCGAATCATATTGCTGTTCCATATCCTTCCCTCAGGTGTCCTCGTCGTCTTCCTCTTGCTCGTCCACGTTCTCTCCTCAATTGTCGCGAACGCTTCTGGAGGACGCCTGGAAGACTGAGTAACCGAATAACCCAAAATCATTGACAAACCCATGAGGGATAATCTTTCTGCATTTCGACAGCCTTTTGGGGGTGATATTGGGGCCGTCATCGGGCGTCTGGAGGGGGTCCGGGGCTGCTGGGGGCCATTTTGGACCGTCTTGGGGGTCTCTTGTGACCGCCGCCGACCCGTTTGCCCGGCTGGGAAGGGACTTTCAGAGGCCTGGAACTCTCGCGACCCTCTGAGGGGCCGCCCAAGAACCCCAGACGCCGGGGATCCCGTTTGGGGCTCGGGGGGTCCGCACGTGCTTACACACATGTGTATAAGTATTCGTAAACATACATATGAGTAGACGTAGAAGTGTACGTCTGAGTACAAGTGCAACTGCAAGTATACGTAGAAGTACAATCATGAGTATAGATATAAGTATGAGTATACATAGAAGTATAAGTAGAAGTAAAAGTATAAGCACCGGTACAAGTATAATTATAATCATGATTACGATTATAAGTATAAGTATAAGTATAAGTACAAGTGGAATTACAAGTGTACGTATAAGTATGAGTATATGTATAAGTACATGTAGAAGTATGAGTAAAACTACCAGTCTATGTATCTAACTGTATACGTATATGTAGAAGTAAAAGTGTATGTATATATAAGTATAAGTAGAAGTATAATTGCGAATCTAAGTGTAAGTATAAGTATAGGTGTAAGAGTAAGTATACGTACAAGTCGAAGTATAAATAAAAGTGAACGTATGAGTATACGTATGCGTATAAGTCTAAGGATGCGTATAAACAGTAAAAGTAGAAATATAAGTATACGTATACGTAGAAATATACGTATACGTAGAAGTATAAATATAAATATAAATATAAATATAAGTACAAGTATACGTGTAAGTACAAGTATAAGTGAACGTACAAGTATAAGTACAATTATAAGTATAAACAAAAATATAAGTATACGTAGAAGTGTAACTGTAAGTACAAGTCTAAGCTAAGCACAAGTAGAAGTATAAGTATGCGTATAGGTATACATATAAGTATACTTATAAGAGAGGGTAAAAGTAGAACTGTGAGTAAACTTATAAACATAAGTAAAAGTATACGTGAAGGTATACGTGCACATAAGTGCAAGTATAAGTATGAGTATAAGTACAAGTATAAGTATATGTCTAATTATACATACAGGCAGGAGTACGAGTAAACGTAGAAGTACAAGTACAAGTACACGTACACGTACACGTACAAGCACACGTGCAAGTACAAGTACAAGTACAAGTACCAGCACAATCACAAGTACAACTACAAGAGCGACTACACGCACAAGTACAAGTATACGTAGAAGTATACGTACAGGTACAAGTATAAGTATAAATGTTAGTGCACGTATGAGTATACGTATACGTATCAGAATGAGTACAAGTATTAGTGTACGTATAAGTAGACGTAGAAGTATGAGTATACGTATACGTATGAGTATAAGTGTGAGTCTAAACATAGGTATACGTAAAAATGCAAGTGTGAGTATAAGTATAACTATAAGCATAAGTATACGTAAAAATGAGTATCAGTACAAGGATAAGTATAAGTACACCTAGACGTATAAGTATACGTATACGTGTACGTAAAAGTACAAGTACAGGTATAAGTGCAAGTACAAGTACAAGTACAAGTATACCTATAAGTATACGTACAAGTACACATACGAGTATAAGTATAAGTATACTCATAAGCATAAATATACGTACAATGACATATATGCATGTGTAAGTATAAGTATACGTTTAAGTATAGGTATGTGTATGTATACTTAGAAATACAAATACAAGTACACATATAAGTAACAGTACACGTATAAGTATAAGTATAAGTATAAGTATAAGTATAAGTATAAGTATAAGTATAAGTATCAGCATAAGTATACGTATAAGTATAAGTATAAGTATAACTATAAGTATAAGTATACGTATAAGTATACGTATAAGGGAAAGTACAAGTATACGTATAACTGTAAGTATAAGTGCAAGCATAAGTAAAGTTATATGGAAATATATAAGTACAAGTGCAAGTCAACGTACACGTACAAGTACAAGTACAAGCACAAGTACACGTACACGTACAAGTACAAGCACAAGTACAAGTTCAAGTACACGTACAAGTATCAGTACAGGTATAAGTATAGTATGAGTACAAGTATAAGCATGATTACAAGGGCCAGGGCGGCCGCTGCCGCATCGCAGCAGGTCACCTGAAGGGTCGCCACCATGCCTATCAGGGCTCGAAAGCGCAAACCTCCGCCGAGCCCGGTGGAACTCCCCCAGGCGGCCCCCAGCTCGACGTACTGGGTATCGTTCGCCTGCTTGCGGGTGACGATTCCCGTCTGGGGACTGGTAGGAGGAGGAGGAGAGGACAAGGAGGAGGAGGAGGAGAAGGAGGAGGAGGAGGGGGAGTAGAAGGAGGAGGAGGAGGAGGCGGGAGGGGGGGGGAGGAGAAGGCGGAGGAGGATGAGGAGGAGGACGAGAAGGAGGACGAGGAGGAGAAGGAGAAGGAGAAGGAGGAGGAGGAGGAAGAAGAGGAGGAGGAAGAGGAGGAAGGAGGAGGAGGCGGATGACGAGGGCGAGGACGAGGACGAGAACGAGGACGAGGACGAGGAGGAAGAGGAGGAGGGCGGAGGGCTCGAGGGCTCGAGGCCGTCGCGCACAAGTCGATGACGAGCGGGCGGGCCGAAAGGAGGAAGTGCGCGTTCCAGGCTACCAGCCAGGACGAGCACCACGCCTGCCATGGGCAAGCGAGCTGAGATTGGAGGGGGGCCAAAATATGTTGTCGGGCTACGGTGCGGCTTTGCCTAGGCGGCACACCGCAGCCCCTGACATGCCCCCCCCAAAACAAAAAAACTGAAAGCAAAACGAGTTGCATCAGTCCGACCCCGACTCCACCCCGAGGTCACCACCCAGCTCCCCTCCCGAATGGGCCGCCTCCTCCAGTCGGAGGGCGGCGGCAACACGAGCAGGAGCTAGCGGGCTGGAAGTCGCTGCAGCACTGGCGGCGGCAGCGGGGGCGAGAGGAGCGGCGGGCTGGGCAGCGCTGAGGGGTTCCAACCGCTGCCCAGTCCTGGGATGGAGGCCACGCGAAGCATATTTAACCTTCAAGGCCTGGATCGAACGGGTACTCGCGTGGGCACTGCGCCCGTTGCAGCGGAGGCCAAGACCGCGCGCGCGCGCCCGTCGGGCAACATCACATGAGCACTGCACAGAGAGCAGAAAATGGCACGGCACGGCCTTCTCGCTCAACGGCGTGGCCTAGCTCTCTCCAATGACTGCACGCCTCAGGCTGAGGAGGTGCAGGCACGGGGGCGGGCCCCAGGACCTCACAGGCAAAGGACACCGCGTCCTGCACCGCCTCCGACCTGACAGGCACCGCGCTAGCCCCGTGGGCTTGGAAGAATTCAGCGGCCAGGAAGGCCTGCACAGCAGTGGGCTCACACACGCGCCGACTCCCTGATCGCAGCTGAAGCAGGGAATCGTGGGTTCGAGCCCACAAGTTACACTGCTTACACCTCCACTCGCCCTTGGCAGGAAAGTGGTGCAGTTCATGCCGCACCAGCACCGCTCGGGCCACAGGGCGACCCACGGTCTGGGCATCAGGGGTCGAGAGGTCCGTGGAAAGCAAGGCGATCGATTGGGCGAACCGACTCAGGAAGTCGAAATCTTTCCTGATGTCGGCGAGATGCTGCTTCTGAGCTTCGACGACAGTATTGGCAACAGCATGGCCTTCGGACCCCAGCCTGGCGAAAAAAACAGCCCAGAGGTTACCAAGGAAATCCTGAATTTCTTGGGCCGAGGACAGGTCCAGGATACCATCCCACTCGCGGTGGGCTTCAATCCACTGGAAGGTGGGCCGCGCCTGGCCCTCCTGAAACAAATCAAAAATGATGCGCCAAACATCCGCATGCAACGCATGGCCATGAGCAAGGGGTGGGGACCACTCCATCCCTTCCCGCACAGCGCTTAAATAGTCTGACACTACCTGGGCGTCTGGGGGGCCCCGCCGAAGAGCTTGGAGAATCGCGTAGCGCTCAGCCCGAGGCACCGACTGGTGCCATTTATGAGGAGGAGGGCAGAGGAGGAGGAGGAGGAGGAGGAGGAGGAGGAGGAGGAGGAGGAGGAGGAGGAGGAGGAGGGGGGACGCCTGTGGGGAGTTCATGTGGGCTGGGGGCAAGGCGCTTGCGCCATCCACACGTTGGCGAGCGTGGCCCCGCCACGCACTGCCTGGCATCCACGTAGCCACAATACCGCACCCTCAGCCTACCCCTGCCGTCACCTCGCCAGTTGGAACGCCGCAGCCATCACGCTTTCACCCACCTCCCCCTCTAGGGGAACGAACAATGACATGAACATAAAAACTCGGAGGTCCGAGCGGATTTCTCGGGTCCGCGCTGGACCTCCCTGGCGGCGCCTCCTGCGCCGCCCCTGGCGGGCGCGCTCCGCGCGCCAGGGAGGGGGGTCGAGCGCCGATCCGAGAAATCCGCGCGGACCTCAGAGTTTTCTATGTTCATATCATTGTTCGTTCCCCTACTCAAATCGCTGCAACAAAACCGTTGCTTCTTCCGGCCTCCCACCTGCTCCTCCTCCTATTCCTCCTCCTCCTCGATCCCCCTCGATCCTCGGATCAGCTTGCCCAACCGTCCCACAGTGGCTGCCATCTACCTCTCACGCCGCAGCGCTCACACCGCCAGAGCCGCGCCGACACGTTCCCCCCCTCGCCTCCCCCCTCGTTCTACGTGAGTCTTGTCTGTCCTTCCTCTTCTCCCCAACCCTTGCTGAGTCAGATCCTCATTTCACTTCATACCGAGATCTGCCGGCGACCCCTGGAGCGGTGCTCCAAGGGTCGCCTGGCATGAGTTTGATCGCCCCCCTAGGGCCGACCGGCCCTGGCGGCAGTCGACGACTTCTCACGCCATCAGGATCCAGGAATCAGGAATCAGGAGGAGGAGGAGGAGGCGGGTGGAGGAGGGAGGGTGGAGCAGGGAGGAGCGTAGAGGGAGGGATAGAGGGAGGAGGCAGGAAGGACGAGAGAGACCAGCCCTCCCCCCACGAGCCTTGAACTCGCTGGTGCCCGCATGTTCGTGGCATCCCACCAGACTGTCCAAGCCGCTGCTCTCACCGAACTTGGCCCCGTTCACAAAGACCGGGGAGGGGGCGGAGGGAGGGGGAGGTGGAGCGCGGAAAAGGGAGAAGAAGGCGGAGGCGCTGAGAGAAGGAAAAAGAGGAAATGGGATGAGAATGTTATTCGGTCGTGGGCTGACGACAACAGGTGGAAGAAGAAAAGCAGGAGGACCAGCAGCAGAAGGATCAGGATGAGTTGCAGGAGGAACAGGAGTGGAAGAGAAAGGAGGGTGAGGACGAGAGGAAGGGGGATGGGGCGGGGTGGAGGAGAAGGACGAGGAGGAGGATGATGATGATAAGGAGGAGAAGAACGGATAGGGGGAGGAGAAATAGCATGAAAAAGAAAACGAAGAGGGGCAGGGAAACGAGAAGGGTAATAGAAAGGGGGGACGAATCTGAACGGGAGAAAACGCTGCATCAGCAGCACGAGTAGCAGGAGAATGGGGAGGACGAGCAAGAGAAAGAGCAGCATCAAGAGAGAGACGAATGAGGCTGTGCGGTTGCTAAATCACCGCGCAAAGCAAGAGGTGAGGGAAGAGGAGACCGCAATCCCCTATGTGTTCGCCTCCCCACCCACTCACCCGAATGCCCGCCTGGTCGTTGATGGTGAACTTCGAGCCCGAGCGGGTGGCGTTCACCCTGGCGGCAGACTACTTCAGGTATGGGGAAAGAAGAACCATAAGCGAGGAAGGAGGAGGAGGAGGAGGAGGAAGAGGATGAGGAGGAGGAAGAGGATGACGAGGAGGAGGAGGAGGAGAGCGTAGGAGGAGAGCGCAGGAGAATGGATGAAGGGTGGCAAGAAGTTTCTTCAGGCTTTCAGCTGCTTCCTGAACGCTAGTTTTTGGTATTTCCTGGCGGAGGAAGAGGAGGGAGGAGGACCCTGACTACAGATCCGCCGAACTTTGGGCGCTGCCGCAAGTAAGGCCGAAATTTCCGCCCTACGCTTCAAGCTCCTTTGATATAGATGTATGCCCCAATTAGCCGTCCTGTTTCCGCCAAACTTTGTAGAAATATCCGCACTCCTCTTCTGATGCGTAAGCTCCGAACTACGTTGCGCATCTGTTGGGGCACATTTCGGACACAATATTCAGCTGAAAATCAACCAACGTACGGCGGATCCTGAGTCAAGGTAGAGGCGTCCAGAAGTATCCAGCAGCAACAAGAACAAACTCGCCAAACATCCTGCCTCCGATCCTCGTCCTTGGGATTGCTTTCGAATTATTCCCCAAACACTGCTTGCACAAGGGTTTCTTGCTTCTGTTCTAAGGAACTGAGCTAATGAGGCGGTCTGGCGGCTATGTTATCGCCGTCGCAGCCCCATCGCCGCCTCGTCGCCGCCCGTCGTCTGGGCCAGTGTGGCGCAGTCTGGGGGCTACTTGTTTTGACTGCACACGTTGCTGTAATCGCCCTAGCTCGCGTCGAAGGTCCGTGAGCCACCACGTAGGTTCAAACGACAAGAACCATGTCCAGAATGATCGAGGGGAGCAAAGGGCGGAGGAGATCGCCCAATCGTATCACCTACCCGCAGCGACAGCCCGGGTGCTCAGGCGAAGTGACTCAAGCCGTCACCGCCCCGTCGCCGCCCGTCTTCTGGGACGGTGTGGCGGTCTGGCAGCTATGTTGCCGCCGTCGCCACCCCGTCGCCGTCTTGTCGCTGCCCGTCGTCTGGGCCAAGCTGGTGGTCTGGCGGCTATGGTGTCGCCATCGCCGCCCCGTCGCCACCTCGTGGCCGCACAGATTGCGCACCACACAGATTGCACCACATTCATTGAGAGTGCGCGTTTCGCGGGCGCCTGCTTGGAAAAAATGTCCCCCCCACCCCAGTGGAAGGGGGGATAAGGGGAAGGGGGGAGGAGTGGGGGGCATAAGCCCGGCGAGCGCGGGTCGGGGGGTACAGTCGGGGCGTTGACCTAAGGAACCCTAAATAAGGAACGAGGCCCCCTTTTTCAATAAGTTAAACTTCGATGTCCTATCGAAAACATAAGGAAAACCTGAGGCAAGCTGTGAAACACTTAAGGAACACGGAGCCCCTCCCCAACGAAAAGGGTTCCTTCTTCAGGGCCCCGACTGTACACTCCCCCCCGGCTTCGAACCCAGGGGGGGGGAATTCCCCCCTTCACGGAATCGAGTGTGGGGTGGTAAACCACCCCCTCCCCCCTCCCTAGTTCGAACTCCGGGTGGGAGGCGACGGCGACGACGACGACGACACGACAGCGGCGGCACCGACAGCGAAGCCAACGACGACGACGAGGACGCAACGACGACGACGACGAAGCCACCGCCACCGCCGCAGACGACGACGACGGCGACGACGATGCCGAGCACGATGCCGACGCCGAGGCCGAGCACGCCGACGATGCCGACGGCGACGACGACGCCGAGCACGATGCCGACGCCGACGCCGACGCCGACGCCGCTGACGCTGACGCCGACGACGACGACGACGACGCCAAGCACGACGCCGACGCCGACGCCGAGGCCGACGCCGAGCACAACGCCGACGCCGACGTCGACGCCGATTCCGACGACGACGACGACGCCGACGCCGGCGACGACGACAATGCCGACGACGACGAAGCGCACGACGCCGAGCACGACGCCAAGCACGACGACGACGCCGACGTCGACGTCGCGGACGACGACGACGACGAAGACGACGCCGACACCGACGCCGGACGACGACGACGACGACGACGACGACGACGACGACGACGACGACGACTACGACAACACCGATGCCGACGCCGACTCCGAGCACGACACCGAGCACGACGCTGAGAACGACGCCGACGCCGACGTCGTGGACGACGACGCCGACACCCCCGACATTACAACGACGACTACGACGCCGAGCACGGCGCCGACGCCGACGCCGGCAACGACGACGAAGCCGAGTACGACGCCGAGCACGACGCCGATGACGCCGACGCCGATGACGCTGACGCCGGCAACGACGCCGACGCCGAGCACGACGCCGAGCACAACGCCGACGCCGACGACGACGACGACGACGACGACGACGCAGGCGCGCCGCCGCCGCCGCCGACGACGACGACGACGACGACGCCGACGCCGAGCACGACGCCGACGCCGACGCCGACGCCGACGGCGACGACGCCGACGCCGACGGCGACGGCGGCGACGACGACGACGACGACGACGACGACGAGCACGACGCCGAGCACGCGACGCCGACGACGCCGACGCCGACAACGATAACGACGCTGGCGCCGACGCCGACGCCGACGGCGACGCCGACGACGACGCCGACGATGACGACGACGACGCCGAGCACGACGCCGAGCACGCCGCCGACGACGCCGAGGCTGGCAACGACGCCGACGCCGACCACGCCGAGCACGAAGCCGAGCACGACGCCGACGCCGATGCCGACGACGACGACGATGACGACGACGACTCCTGACACCGACACCGACACCGACGCCGACGCCGACGCCGGCGACGACGACGACGACGACGACAACGAAGCCGAGCACAACGCCGTTTTCGCCCCCCCCCCGTGGGTTCGAACCCAAGGGGGGGCAGGGGCAGTTCCCCCCCTCCCCCCACCCCGGTTCCGAACCCGAGGGATGCGGGGCAGAGAAACAAATGGGGAGAAAGAACAGGGGAAAAGGCAAGGAGAACGAGGGAAGCAGATGTGGCTGGCGTTCGAGGGGCACCACCATACCCAAATGAGGGACGTGGCAGACGACAGCACCAATCGAACAAAGGGATGCGGCCAGCGCTCGGACGATGCACAACGCGAGGATGTCTCAGGCGAAACTGGCCGGGCCACATCAGCTCAGGGCACCTCGGAACCCAGAG